CATGATAGTGGTGGGGAGGAAGCATTCAAGAACCAGAGGAAAGTTGTATGTTTCATCATTGCTACCCTGCACCCTGACTGGCTCATCTCCTCCCCTCAACCCTTCAGTAAGGGGTTGTCCAGTTGCCTACCAATGGGCTTTGAGTCTCCACTCTGCACTCACCCACCTTTACAATGATATGATTCTTCGTTCTTTGATGCTTGATGCCTGATCCCTTCAACAGCTCGTGGTCACACAGACTGGTGTACTTCTTCCATGTGGGCTTTGTTGCTTCTGAGCTAGATGGCCGCTTGTTTATCTTCAAGACTTTAAGACCCTAGACGGTATATCTTTTGATAGCCGGGCACAATCAGCTTTCTTCACCACATTTGCTTATGCACACGTTTGTCTTCAGTGATCATATCGGGAAGGTGGGCACCCACTGGTATGACTTTTAGTTCTTTGATGTGTGATAAAGAGGAGCCCTGGGGGTGCTGTCAGGTAAGTGTTGGATTGCTAACCACCAGGCCAGAAGTTCAAACCCACCAGCTGCTGTATTGGAGAAAGACGAGGCTATCTACTCCCATAAAGATCAATAGCCTCAGAAACACTATGTAAGATCACCATGGGTTGAAAATGGCTATGGCAGTAGCTTCAATGTATTGGTTTATGTTTTACAGAGATGGTTAGGTACTTCATTCATGCTAACTAGATAGCCATGTGGTATTATTTTCCTACTACTTGAAATACGTCTGTTAATTCTCTTACTTTCATATATTTGAAGAAGTCTTCATTTCATTTTTTATTACGAAAGACATTTTCTCTTGTTATGAAAGGCTAGGCTGACCTATTTTCTTTCAGTCCTTACAGATATTATTCCACTATCTTCTGGAATGTCTCGTTTCCAATGAGAAGCCTGTTGTCATTCTTAACCCCTGCTCCTCTGTTAGGTTACCTCCTTTTCCTCTGGCTGCTTTAAAGCGTTTCTCTTTATCATGGATTTTAAAGTAATTTGATTTTGATGTGTCACAGTGTTTCCTTGGCAAGACTCATTGTTCTTTGATCTAAGAACTTTTCGTTTTTATCAAATCTGGGGACATTGCTGGCCTCTATTTTGCAAGTGTGTCTCCTGTAGCTCCCCCTTCATGCCGGAGGACTCCTGGATCTCTTGAGGTTGTTCTCGGTCTCGTGTATGCTCTGTTCATGGTGTCCTTCTGGGCTGTCTTTTCCATGTTTCATTCTGGGTAATTTGCACGGCGGTGTCTTCAGATTCACTGATCTGTTCTTATGCCATGTCGAATCCTCCAGGAATCCCGCCAGTGGATAGGTGTATATATTTATCCCAGACATTTTACAGTAAAGCCGGTGAAAGCCAGAACCCGTGGAAAGCATACCTCTGCCAGAGAAGGAAAACGTAACTATTTTCCACTGAAATAAACAAAAGAAGGTGGTAAGGCTGAACCCTGTCAAAGACAGAAAGCAAGGTGGCCCTGTTACGTTCTGCCTCTCACAAGGGTCATGGATAGAAATGGATTTGTATCTTTTTTGGCATTTCCCATGTTTCCCCCCTCAATTTTCTTGAGCATATGGAACCCTGGCGGTATCGTTGTTATATTCTGCACTGCTAACAATGAGATAAGCGGTTCAAAACCACCAGCAGTTCTCCAGGAGAGAAAGATATGGGGCTTTCTAGCCCCGTATCGAGTTACAGTCTTGGAAACCCAGAGAAGCAGCTGAGTCTGAATTGAGTCGATGGCAATGAGTTTTGGGTTTTTCTGTTCTTAAACATATAGAATATAGCTAAAATAACAACTATTTCTGGGTCTGTTTCAGTTCATTGATTTTCATCGTCATCATTTTCCTGTTGCTTTGGGTGCCTGCTAATTCCTAAATTAGATGTCAGGCATTGTGAACTTTGCCTTGAAGGCCTACTTTTAATTACTACCTAATTTTTAATTCACTTCCTGTTGATTTTCCCTCTTACTACCGAGCAAATACTCTTCTGAGTACTTTACTTCATGCCTCAGGTACTGTGAGGTTTTTCCACTTGGACTGGGCGGAAGCCATGTTATTTCTGGGTCTAAGTGAGCTCCCAAGACTGAGCTGCCTGTTCAGTGCTGCCGGTTCTTTCCCAGCCTCTGGTAATTTCCTCACAGACATACACTGAGCCGACCTCAGCTGAACACAGAAGGGGGACCCCCTGCAGGTCTCAGACTCTCTTATCCGGTGTGACTGTCTCACGCCCCACAGCTCTCTCCTCACCAGCAAACCCAAGCCACCACGGCCTCCTCATCTCCTCATCTCCGACTCGTCACCTCTCAGGGGCTCTCGTGATCTCTAGGGAGACATGCGAGGGCCCACGTTGCCTGTTTTCCTGTGTTCACATACCACTGCTCAGCGCTTCCTTTTGTTCAAAGTCTGAAAACCCTGGCTTCTTATGGGTTTTGTTGTTGTTCTTATGTTTTGTTTTCATGTGAAAGAAGAAATCTGCTCTGTTGTGGCCAGCAGCTAAAGACCCTGCAATTCTTCAGTAGATAACTGCCGATACCTTGTGAAGCCCAGCATCAACTTGAGAGAGCCGTCGGAAGTGATGTGTTGGCATGGGCTGCCCTGCCGCTGCTGTGTTTGTAGTTGCAATGGAAATCACGGGCTCACGGTCACCCTTGTTCTGAAGAACGAAATGTGTCCCAGTCCTGGGCCACTTTCCCAAGGGTTGTAGGCTGGCGTCCACTGATGTAGCCACTGTGTATTTTGAGGACCTTCCAATGTAAGAGGGCTCATCTTCCCGCTCTGTGTTGAACAATATTTGTTGTTTTCATTGACTACGTGTTTCAGAAATGACATATATTTTTTGAAACATTATGCTTTAGTGATAAGAATCTCAGGCCAGCTCTGTTCTGCTTTGAATTTCCTGACATCTGAAAAGCTCGTTATAATATGAACCCTGTTCAGAGTTTTTACAGAAATGTCTCCAGGAGTCATACTTTGTCTGATAAAGTATCATCTGCAACATGGATATGAAACTACATCGGTCCACTCCTATGTAGACTTTTTTCAATAAACATATTGAGTTTTTTTGTGGGGGGAAATTTGCAACAATTTGGAAAAACTGCATGCATAGCTAGAAATATTGAAAAAATGTTTTTAAAGTTATGTATGACATATGTCATAAAAATTAGATATGAATGCATAAAGTATACATAGATACTAGTCTATTTTAGGTTTTGCTACTATTAAATATACCACCCATCTATTATAAAGAGTTAAAATGTATCAAAACTTACATACCCATACATAGACTATCTATAGGGCCATTCAAAGTCGTCAGAAATGTAAACAAAGATGCAGTGTTAAATCACAATTGCTTAGAACGCACAGTAGTACACACAGTAGCACTACTGTGATCATTTCGGCATCACTTCTGGTTGCTATTGCCATGAGCTCAAGTGTTGCACGTATACACTTAACACACTGTGTGGCACTAATCACTTTTGAGTGTGTAGTTTGTGTCTCTCCAGTAAATTGCATAAGCCAGTAATAAGTGATCACTCTCGGTTGTTGCCTGTTTTTCACATTGTTTACTGTGATACCATAAACTTGGTCCAACCAGGGCACCCATCTGCTGGGAGTGCTCCCGCAAGGCATACGTAGTACTCCCGTCCCTCCTCGGACTTGTACAGATAAGACAGTGGACAGGCGTCTATAGTATTGTTGAAGAAGAAGAAATGACGGCTAGTGCATAAATGCCATCAGCAGGGATTTTTTGGGGTTTGCATCCACACGGTCGCAGTGCCACTACATGTACAGCCAGTTCTTTCAGGAGTTGATTTCAGTGGATCGCACACATGTGCTCATTTAGCCATTTATCTGGGCAGTAAAGAGCCTGTCATTCCCCCTTACCCCATGAACCAGTGAGAGCTGTGTGCACAAACCTCCCTGTCCCAGTTGGTAATTGGGAAATTGTTCTCTGGTTAGAAAGCTAGCAATTGTGTGTGTGTGTGTGTGTGTGTATCTGGAGACAAAGACCTGTGTGTGTATGTGTGTGTGTGTATCTGGAGACAAAGACCTGAAATGAATACTTGTTGAGGGCAGACAGCAATAGATAGATTCAAGGAAACCAAGAGTCTAAGGAAGGCAAATATGTGGATGCCTCCAACTTGAGGCACGTTTGGCGATGGGGAGCGGTAGGGATGGTCCTTGGAAAACAGCACGCCCTACGTGGCTTGTCTCCCTACACAAAATGTTGAATACAACTAGTAGTGTTGGAAGGCAGGAGAGCAAGCAGTTTAGCCCCTCTCCTGCCAGCACGCCCACCGCTCCCCAGTCCTGTTTGGTGGAATGGAGATCTGGAATTTGGACCCAGCCCCAGGCTGTTCTATTTCAACAGAGGATTTCCAGCACAGTGGATTTCGCAAACGCCATTGAAATGGGGAACCTGTTGGGAGGGTTCTATTTAATTGCGCAGTGTCCCCCAAATATGTTCAACAAGGTGGCCTCACTGTCCAAATGCACAATTCTACGTAGATGAGCCCACCTCACTGCCATCAAGCGGATTAGGACTCAAGGTGACCCTTTAGGGCATAGTAGAACTGCCCCTGCGGGTTTACACGACTGGAACTTTCTACAGGAAGGGAGAACCTCATCCTTCTCTCTCTAACGAGCTGACGGGTGTGAATTACTGACTCTGGACCCCAAGGTATCACCAACTATGCTACCAGCTCTCCTAAATGAATTTCGTTTAAAATGTTGATTCTAAATTCAGAGGAGAACTTGCCTAGTGAACTGTATAAAGTTCCAGAAATTCTATCTTTTATCTTTGTACAAATGAATATGTCATTTTCAACCCCAACATTTCACTTGAGGGACTGAAAAGACAACTTTGTGTTCACCCACGGGCAGCGAAAGGAGCCATGGTGGTGCTGTTGGTAAGCAGGATGTTTGGGCAAAGTAAGGTTGCAGAAGTCAATTTCCTCCCCATCTATCACAATGGGAAGGCGCTTTGACGTAAAGGAAGCAAAGCATTGCTCCCATTTGAGGGATCAGAGTGGTGCTGCTGCAAACATCCAGGAGAGGATCTAAGCAAAATCGCAGAGTACCAGAGGAGAGGGGGCCTCAGACGTCAGCCTTTTCAGGAGCGATTCAACCCCAAGATACTTGACTTTCGGTTGGAAAAGCTCACTCTGGCATCCACACTTGAAGGTCTTCCTTGTATAACTCGACACCTCCCGCAAGCTAAACCAGGAAGTCAACACACCTGGCTGCTTGTCCTTTTTAGAGCTTTCTTGTCTGTCTGTCTGTCTGTCTCCTTTCAGAATGGAGTAGTTCTAGGTCAATGGTAATTCTACTCTGCTCAAAGGGATTGTAGAGTCTCAGAGCATCTTCTGAATATACGCTTCCCCATCCAGCTCAATACTCATCATTCTATTTATCTGACGTGTTTACTATCTTCAGACCAAAGATTATGATTTCTCTGACTTGTCCTAGCATGGTGGCTTATGGTTGATAGAAAGGAAATTCTTTTATATGCTCCTAAATTATTTTTGACTATTTGCCGTTTCCTAACATTCCACTGTTAGGACTCCTTCCACTGATTCACGCTGTTTCCTTTCATCGCTTCCATTCTCTCATCCTGAACAGAGCAACGACTGGACTTAGAAGGCGTTTGCTTTACAGTCAATAGAGCAACCATAAAGCTACCTTTTAAGTTATTTTTTGCACCAATGTTGTCATGTGTTTTTGTTTCGGTTCCCCTCACATGGTGTCTGCACTATGTTCCCTGGCACACTAAGGAAGGAAACATGCTTCTGACCCCGGGCCCTTCCTGTGCCATTGAATTCGGTAGCAATTTTATGCCAGAAGTCATTCTTGGTTTTGTTCAGGTACACGTTGAATATCCTGGAGGACATTGGCGATGGACAGAAGGTCAACGACGACATTATTGTCAACTGGGTGAATGAAACACTGAAGGAAGCAGGGAAACATTCGTCTATCTCCAGTTTCAAGGTAACCTTTCAAGTCTTCTCTGAGAGGCCCCCAGACCGTCTGCTCTCTTGATGGTCTGCACTCCATGTTAAGGTGACCTTCAATGTGAGCTACTGGAGACTCCCCTTCCCATTTTGATTTTTGAGGCCATGTTCATAGGCCATTTCATTGACAGATTTCTTGTACTCCACTTCCTGCCATCATTAGGAAGAACAAGGTTATCATTTTTTTGTATGCCCCACTTCCAACATTGCTCTTTCAGAGTAGCATAAAATCATGATTTGGGTTTCTAAAGTACCATGGTGAAATTTTGTAAATGGTGAAAAATAAGCATTTTTCTTTTTTGTTGTTGTTGATATTTCTCTTTTTTTATCACTTTATTGGGGGCTCGTACAACTCTTATCACAATCCATATATACATGCATTGTGTCAAGCACATTTGTACATTTGTTACCCTCATCATTCTCAGAATATTTGCTTTCTACTTGAGCCCTTGACATCAGCTCCTCATTTTTCCCCTCCCCCTCCCGCTCCCTCCTCCCTCATGAACCCTCGATAATTTATAAATTATTATTATTTTGTCATATCTTACACCGTCCGATGTCTCCCTTCACCCACTTTCCTTTTGTCCATCCCCCAGGGAGGAGGTTATAGGTAGATCCTTGTAATCAGTTCCCCCTTTCCACTCAACCTTCCCTCCACCTTCCTGGTATCGCTACTCTCACCACTGGTCCTGAAGGGATCATCTGTCCTGGATTCCCTGTGTTTCCAGTTCCAATCTGTACCAATGTGCATCCTATGGTCTAGCCATATTTGTAAGGTAGAATTGGGATGGGTTTGAACCACTGGCCTTCAGGTTAGCAGTCCAATGCTTACCCCACAGCCCCACCAGGCTACCTTTTTATTATACTCAGCCCAAACCCAATTCATTGACACCAAGTCCATTTGATTCATAGAGCCCTACAGGTCAGAGTAGAACTGCCCCCTGTGGATTTCCAAGACTTTAACTCTTCAAGGGACTAGAAAGCCCCATCTTTCTCCTATGAAGTGATACATGGTTTCAAACTATGCACCTTGTATTTAGGAGCCCAATCCACAACCCACTACTCCACCAGGGCTCCTTAGGTCATACTGACTCAACGGCAACAGGTTGGTCATATTAGTTAATCACAAAATTGCCCTTACTGACTCCATGGACTGTTCCCCTTTCCTGAGCTCTGCAATAGAGAGAATTCTCTGAAGCTTGTGTCCCTCTGCCCTTCATCACTGCCCCCGACAATGTCCTCTGGAAGGTCCTCCCAAAGTGTTGCAAAGGCTTCTCTGGGCACCGCTCCTCTTCTTTTGCTCTTGATTTGGTTTTTTTTTAATGACTCCATCCTCAGTCTATCCCTAATTTGCCAGTCATTAAATTAGGCAAATTCCATTTCCACCTCTGTGCTTTTCTCAGGAACCCTGGCAGCATCATGGGTAGGTTGCTAACCAAAGATTCGGCAGTTCAAACACATCAGCAGTTCAGTGGGAGAAAGGATCTGGTGATCTGCTGTCAGAAAGAGCACCTTGGGACAGTCCGCCACTGTCACTGTGAGCCAGAATCTCCACTGCACCTGAATGGAGCGACACGCTGTTCTCTAGTTACGAATAAGCCCCACCTGTTGGCAGACCCGAGACTCTGGGACATGGAGACCCATGAATGCACTAGGCTTCTAGCTAAAGGGTTGGAGGTTCATACAGAGGCACCTCAAAATACAGCCCTGGAAATTTGCTCCCCCAAAGTCCTTCAACATCACCTGGAGCGCAGTTTGGTGTGCAGCACATGGAGTTGCCATGAATCCGAATCGGCTTGGCCACAACTGGTGTTTGGGTTGGCAGATCATGGGGTTTTCTCTCCTTGGTGGACCGCCATGAGTCCACTGATCCTCCTGCAGACACTGCAGTGGGTTTGAAGCATGATATAAAATGCTGGGACAGAGAACATTGGGCGCCATGGACACAGCGCCAGGCCAGGCAGAGCTGGATGGCACTGGGCTGCTCTGTGCCTCCGAGACTAAATGAAGCATCATTCAATCTGGGCAAAGGTGTTCCTAAGAAGCCAAGAGGCAAGATGTCGTCATATGCATTTTTGTGCAAACTTGCCAGGAGGAGCACACGAGAAGCACCCGGATGCTTCTGCCTGTTTTTCAGTGTTCTAAGGGCTCAGAGAGGAGGGAGACCATGTCTGCTAAAGAGACGGGGAACTGAGAAGACATGGCCAAGACAGCCAAGGCTTGTTATAAAAGAGAAATGAAAATGTATATCCCTACTAAAGCAGAGAGAGAGGAAAAAAAGAACTTCAAAGATCCCAATGTACCCAAAAGGCCTCCTTTGACCTTTTTCTTGTTTTGTTCTGAGTCTCGCCCAAAATCAAGGGCAAGCACCCCACCTTGTCCATTGGGGACATCGAAAAAGAAGGCGGGGGACGTGCAGAATACCACCATGGCCAATGACAAACAGCCTTAAGAGAACAAATATGAAATATGAAAACGGTCTTTTTTCTTTTTTCTACAGTTGTTAACTCTCGATTGAGTGGATCTTTAGATAGCCCTGTCCTGGTGGTCATTTCAGTAGCTGCTAACCTTGCCTGGTACGGGATGGGGGCTTGAAATTGCCACGGGCATGTAGAGCAAGTCCTTGCTGGGGCACAGCACAAACGAGTTCGATGTGGTGATGGAAGGCTTGGGTTTTTTGTTTTTGTTCGTTTCTCTTCAGTTGTCTCTGATGCAGGTTATAGAAAATAATTGTAGTTCTGTTAACCAAATACCACTCTGTAATTGCAGAAGAACATGCTGCAACTGTTTTGTTGAGATTCTGAATGTGTCTAAGTAAATACTTGGGGGAAACAATTATTAGTATTGTGGTCCTTTGTCTAGACTTGTTATGCGTTGTCCTGGAAGGAGAAGCTCGTCTTTTTGCTTTTTCCATGTTGGGGCCCCATGAATCACGGACACGGTCCATCCTTAAACATACAGTCCCCTGGAGTTTGGGGCTTCTTTCTCTTTAAACTTTCCTCTCCATCCCCTGCCTACCCACAATGGGGTCTGTTTGAGCCCCACACCCAAAAACCCCAAAAGGAAGCTCACTCCCATCACGTCAATGCTGACTCAACCAGGGCTCCAACTTTGCACACCGCGCCATGTAAATCACATACTGAAGAGGAAAAATCATTCATTTCCCCTAAGCCAAATCGATGTATCTTTCGTTATCATTGTTAGGTACCGTCAAGCCAGTTCCGACTCAGAGACGCTTTATATAGTAGAAAGAAAACTGCCCAGCCTGCACCAGCCTCCCAATTGTTCTTATGTTTGAGCCCCATGTTGCTGCCATCTTGCTGAGGGCCTTGGGTTGTGTTTAAAAACAACAACAAAAACCCTCCTTTTCTTCTCTCTGTGTAGGACCCGAAGATTAGTACAAGTCTGCCCGTTCTGGATCTCATCGATGCCATTCAGCCAGGTTCCATTAACTATGACCTTCTGAGGACTGAGAGCCTGGATGAGGAGGAGAAGCTCAACAATGCGAAGTACGTAAACGACCCTGACGGTGGGTGGGCAATGAAGGAGTTCAAAGCAAGCGTTCAAGTGGGCAATGGTCAGTAAAGGGGTTCAAGGCAAAGGTCATTCCCAAGGGCGGAGCAGCTGCCACCTGTCAGATGACTCCAGCAGAGCCCAGAGCTGAACAACTGCAGTATTCTTAAGAGCCCAAGGGGGCTTGTGGCCTGCTTATGTCGATCAAGGTTTACTGGAACATAGCCAGGCCTGTCCATCTGTGTCCTGTGGTTTCTTCCCTACTAACCACAAGGCAGAGTTCCGTAGTTTCAACAAAGTGCTCGAAACTTAACTATACACTGCCCGATCTTTACGGAGCATGCTTGCCGACCCCTGCTTCCGAGGGACACCTTACTGACAGCGGGACTAGAGCTACCAAGTGACCTGTGCCCAGTGGCCCTGCTCGAGAGCCCAGCCTCGTGTGCCTGTCCCTCTGCTC